GATAGATAGATAGATAGATAGATAGATAGATAGATAGATAGATAGATGCAGCACTCACAAAGTTCCTTAGAGAATGGGGGACACTCTCCTTAAGTGAGGGTCTCCCTAAAAGTCATTCCATGGGGGGGTCCTCAGTAGCAGTGGGTCTCCTCTCAGCCTTCCCAGAGGAAGTCCTCTCTCCTTAAGTGGGGAGGGGTCTCCACATGTCATATCTAACCCCTCTTATCCTATGGGGGTCTTCAATTAGTGGGGGGGGCTCCCTTCAGCCTTCCCAGAGGGAGGGCTCCCTCTTTATGTGGGGAGGGGTCTCACCCTGCAGGAAAACACCCCCCCTCCGCCAGTTCCCTCCCCTCTTAAGGGGGGGGCTCTCCTTCCTCAGTCATTGAAGAAGGTTGGGGTTGGGGTCCCTCCCCATCACCCCCCAGGGGTGGAACGGGAGGGGTGAGTCTGCCAAAGCCCCCCCCCCGTCCCCTTAACCCCCCTCTGCGCGGTGCATGATGGGAAGAACGTGTGTGTGGGGGGTGTTCTGATACTCACCCGCCGCCACCGCCGCTGCTCCCCCCGCCCCGCTCCGGTCCTGCCGGGGGGAGGGAGGCCGAGGGGAGGGGGCGCTGCTCCCCAATGGGAGCGACGAGGAGGAGGGAGGGAGGGGAGGAGGGGGACGGGGTGACGTCGAGGGCAGGGGAACTGCGCAGGCGCGGAGGCTCAGGTGCAGCCGCGGCGAAACAGCTGCCGCGTTGCCACGGCAACCGGCTGGGCGCTTCCCCTGGCAGCCGTTGCCGGGTTGTTTCCCCCCCCCACTTTCCGTTGGCGGCTCCGCCCACTCGGGGGCGGGGCCTCGCCGGCGTTCCAGGGGGCGGGGGAAGAGGGGCTATGCGGAAGTTCAACCGGTGAAGCTTCACCCCTTTAGGAGCCAGGATGGTGAGGAAGCATTATTATTTATATTTATATTTATATTTATATTATTTATATTTATATTTATATACACACACACACATTTATACATATATGAATAATATAATAAATATAAAGAAATATAAATAATAATAAAATAATATGATGTATAATTGTATGTTAGTTCATTATGTATTGACCTATTAATATAATAATCAGATAATATAGGTATATTACAATAGTATATTTTATATACTGTTGTTTTTTGTTGTTTTTGTTGTTAGTTGCGAAGTCCTGTCTGACCATCACGACACCATGGAAATAAATATATTATCTGATAATTTATTGTAGTAGTAACACAGTTCATAATGAATGAATGTGCAATGAATGTGCCATATGTACATTAGTATATTTTATATTCTGTATTTTTATATTTATAATATAAAATGATATTTTAACAAAATGATTAGTGTTATTTTAATATTAACTAACTTTACTACTATATAATACACTATTATTAACTGTTTAAGAGCCATGTTTCACAACAAGGCATTTTAAATCACAACCTAATAGCATTTAAAAGCCGTTGTATCTAATTTCACAGGTACCACAGGTCATTATGGTGTATTGACAGGCCATAATTCGCATGAGTTCATAATAATCAAGAATTATTCTGGTAAAATGTTCGATTCATTTGCAGTAGGCCTTTGCTGTAACCTCCTCAGCCCCTCCGTCAGAATCAATTCACCAGCCCCAAATTTTGCAGTCAAACGCAACTTCCTAATAACTCAAAACCCTGATTTAAAACTGGCATTTGTTTTTTTTTCTCAAGGGAAACAATCCATCGCTGATCCCAAATCCAACCAGTGGGACCACTGCTCCCATCATCCACAGACAGCTCAGCCTGCAGTTGGGATTATTGGCTTTATAACACAAAGCAAAGAAACAGACCAACTCGTAAAGTCTCTTTTTATTGGCATTCTGCAAATGAACATCCAGGCACGTTCAAAAGCCCTCCGATCCTAGTTTTCATGATCAATAAATGAAGAAATGGGTTTGATGGCAGCAAATTGGAAAGTCACTGAGGGATATTTTGAAGAAGACTAGCAGGTCTCAATCTTGGCAACTAAGACGGGTAGACATCAACTCCCGGAATTCCCCAGCCAGCATGAATTCTGGGAATTGAAGTCCACCCTTGCTGACTGAGGAATTCGGGGAACTGAAGTCCTCCCATTTTAAACATATCAATGAGGATTAGGAGAAGCTGAAACTGGAAAATTGTTGGCAATAAAAACCCAAGTTTAATTACCCCCAATTTTTATGATGGGTTGTGATACGAAAATTGGTTTGGAGAAAGAAGATGGACACCTGGCTACAAGAAACCCCTGCAAAATTCTGGGTGCAAAAAAGTTGGGGTCCCTATCTCTCTTTTCTGAGATTTTCAGTCTAGGTCTGGACCCGGTCATGTCCATTTGTCCAAGGCTTAAGAAAATTCATCAATCCATCAGAAAAGAGCTGGAAGGGACCTTGAAGGAGACCCTATACTATTTCAGACAGGTGGCTGTCCAATCTTTTCTTAAAGACCTCCAGTGATGGAGTGCCCACAAAATCTCAGGAAATGTCCTTTGAAGGACGCAGGATGGGCTGGCCGCCACCCTCTCTGCCTTTTAAAAGCGATGCTTGTAAATATCAATCCTGACACAGCAGATCTGAAGGCTGGATCCATTTAGAGGTCAAAGAGACAGAGGAGACATTGCCAGCCCCAAGGATAATTTCATTTTCTGGCAATGATCGAGAGTGCATTAAGCCGACTGTTACTGTAAAAGTGGAAAGCCAGCAAAAAGGAAAAAAAGGAAGGAGGCCATTCTTATAGATTTGGGAAAGGGAGAGAGGGAGGGAGCAAGGAGGCGAGGAAAGCAGGAAGAAGAGAAAAGGGAGGAAGGAAGGAATAGGGGAGAGGGAAGGAAGGAATAAGAGAGAGA